TCTCTTTATAAAAAACCGAATGTTTTCGTATCTCGTATTGAATGGTCCAACCTCTTCACCCACACACCCAACTCTTATGCCTTAGTGATAGGCGGAGAATTTAATTCCCATTCGATCATATGGGATTGTGGCAGAGATGGTCCCGTTGGGAATGAGCTTCTTGAGGCTCTTGCCGATTCAACGGTGCTCCTCAACGATGGATCGCCTACTAGATTAGCCCGTCCGAATGAACTGCCCTCTGCCGTGGACATCACCCTAATCTCATCCAACATTTCAATTCAATCCACATAGAAAGTTCTTAGCGACCGAATGGGAAGTGATCATCACCCTATTGAAATAACCATCAATGCCCCCCTGAGAAATGCAATTACTTCTCCCATAAAATTAAAACATCTAAAATTCAATGGACATTATTTAAGGGGTAACGGAACCCGTCGCACGTAGAGGTTAGGGGTCCCCCGTATCGGTATTGCAGGTTCCCGTGGTTTTTTTGATTTTGTACGTGAAAAGTACAAAAGCCCATAAAATATAAATAAATGGATATAAATCTCTCTATATTATAAAATTCCAAATCGACTTCTGTTAAGACATGAAATGGTGATAATTGCGGGTCATAAGGGTCATAAGAGTCATGAGGGTCACGAAGGTCATGGATGTGCTAAGGGTCACGAGGGTCATAGAGGTGCTAAGGCTCATAAGGGTGTTAAGAGTCATAAGGGGCATCATAGAGGGGCTAAGCGTCATAAGGGTCACGAGGGTCATAGAGGTGCTAAGGGACATGAGGGTCATAGAGGTGCCAAGGGTCATAGGGGTGTTAAGGGTCATAAAGGTTATAGAGAGGCTAAGGGTCATAAGCGTCACGAGAGTCTCAAGGGTCATAAGGGTCATAGGGGTGCTAAGGGTCATAAGGTTCATACAGGGACTAAGGGTTATGAGGGCCACGAGGGTCACAGATGTACTAAGGGTCTTAAGGGTCACGAAGGTCATAGAGGTACTAAGGGTCATAGGGGTGTTAAGGGTCATAAAGGTTATAGAGAGGCTAAGGGTCATAAGCGTCACGAGAGTCTCAAGGGTCATAAGGGTCATAGGGGTGCTAAGGGTCATAAGGTTCATACAGGGACTAAGGGTTATGAGGGCCACGAGGGTCACAGATGTACTAAGGGTCTTAAGGGTCACGAAGGTCATAGAGGTACTAAGGGTCATAGGGGTGTTAAGGGTCATAAAGGTTATAGAGAGGCTAAGGGTCATAAGCGTCACGAGAGTCTCAAGGGTCATAAGGGTCATAGGGGTGCTAAGGGTCATAAGGTTCATACAGGGACTAAGGGTTATGAGGGCCACGAGGGTCACAGATGTACTAAGGGTCTTAAGGGTCACGAAGGTCATAGAGGTACTAAGGGTCATAGGGGTGTTAAGGGTCATAAAGGAGCTAAGTCATAAGGGTCACGAGGATCATAGAGGTGCTAAGGGACATAAGGATCACGAGGGTCAGAGAAGTGCTAAAAGTCATAGGGATGTTAAGTGTCATAAGGGTTATAGAGGGGCTAAGGGTCACGAGGGTCTCAAAGGTCACGAGGGTCACAGGGGCTCTAAATGTCATAGAGGTACTAAGGATCCCGAGGGTCATAGGAGAGCTAAGGGTGACGAGGGTCTTAGGAGCGCTGAGGGTCACGAGGTTCATAGGAGTGCTAAGGGGCACGAGGGTCATAGGGGTGGTAAGGGTCATGGGGGTTCTAAGGGGGCTGCCCATATATGGGTGGATGCCCATATATAGAGGGATGCCATATATATGGGGGTTGCCCATATATGGGGGAGTGCTAATATATGGGGGGGTGCCCATATATGGGGGGGTACCTATATATATGGGGGTGCTAATATATGGGGGGTGCCTATATATGGGGTGCCCATTTATGGGGGGTACCTATATATGGGGGTGCCCATTTATGGGGGGTGCCTATATATGGGGGTACCCATTTATGGGGGGTGCCCCTATATGGGGGGGAATTATACATATGTGGCCTCTTATGGTAAAGTATGTATAGAGCTATCGGAAAAACCCTCCCGGTCACACCCACTCGGTCACACGGGGAGGNCAAATAAAATGGCGTCGGCCTTGCCCTGATCCTTGCCCTTAAATAATTTGCAATTTTTTTTGCATAAATAAGACAAGTAACAGAAGAGAGCGATGTGTTCCGCTACTTTCAATACGGGGAAAAAATTTTATTGATTCTCATTGCATAGAATCCAAGAAAACTTGTTTTTGATAAACGTCTTTTTGTGGTCGGTTCCGTTACCCCTTAACGATCACCTCCTGAGTAACTCGGATGAAATAATGAATCTTCCTGACGATTGGTCCTCTCCCCAAAAATACAAAAAAATAATATCTACTATAATGGATGCAATCAGTCTCTCTATCTTCACTGCTGAGGCATTGGCAATCTTGACTACCCTTCGCTCCATTCCTCAATTTCATCACAACAAATTCCTCATCCTCTCAGATTCTCTAAGTGTCTTATCATCATTATCCAACTTCTCTCCCAAAAACACCGAATCTCACCTTATTTTCGAGATCTTGAGTCAATGGACTAGACTTAAATCTTGCGGCACAGAGGTGGTATTTTCTTGGATCCCCTCCCACAAAGACATCCTTGATAATGAAGAGGTCGATTCACGGGCCAGGGAGGCGATCTCGTCCGGTCTCCTTCAGAACACCTCACTTCCTCCTTCCGATTTAAATGAATCCATAAATACCTAAATGAAAATCTCCACAACTAGATCCCTCGCTAAACGCGGAAAACTTGTAGGCCACCACTATTTCAGACTTTTTTACAAGGGTTGGTGCCATCCTTGGTACCAAAATTTAAAAATTGATCGTCCCCAAATAACCACCATTTGTCGAATGAGATCCAATCATTTCAACCTTCACGAAAGTTTAGCCAGGAAAAACATTATTGCCTCTCCCCTATGTGATTGCAAGCAGACCCTCACGCATTTCTTTTGGCTTTGTTCGGAGCTGAGGGGAGAGCGTGAGATCCTTATCAAGGCCCTTAACAAACTAGACATCACTAAATACAACATCAATAAACTAATCACGTCCCCCGATGCGAAAGTTTCATTTGTTCTACACAATTTCATCAAACAAACGGGTGTTAAAATCTGACTCTTGCTGGGTTGCTTATCATCCGCTTGCCTTCCTTTTATTCTTTAAACAAACCTTCCCGCCGAATTCATAAAGCCTCTCTACCCAGATAACACACGAACTGGTACGATACTAGTATAATGTTCGTATAGCGTACTATGCGTACCAGTACCAGCCATCTACCTGCGTATTCTGCAAGTATTATAACAGTATGGCGTACGAGTACGACATACTAGTATAATACCGGTACGGTACGAGTATTTTTAAAGGCATCATACTCCGCGCTTACTGTACGACGTACTGGTATGTTACTAGTACGTTAACAGTGTTGCATACGAAGCGTTGTGGTATGGCCATACGATAAGGTACGCTTATACTACCAGTATTATACCAGTACGACATACCAGTACCATATACGGTTACGGTACTAAAATGATACTCGGTAGATATTAGTTTAATACCGGTATGCTGACCAATCAGCATACCAGGTCCAGCTACCCCCTCCTTCCCCACCCCGCTCTGCCCGTAAATAATAGGTGATTGTAATTAGAATTTTTATTCAATAATAATGAGGAGAAATGATTCTTTTATTAATTCTAATTGTAATTAATGGACCGAATACAGGTTCGTAATGTGGAATAATGGTATTAATTAAATTCAAAAGGAAGGTGGACAGCCTTGTATAATTTCTACCGTCAAATCAATGGAAATTCTATGAAATAATGCTGATAGAGTTGAGACGAATCACTTTCCGAAAATCTGATAGATGGGAGGAACGTTTCTTCAGCAGGTCACTGGGATACTTGGGGTGTGCTTTTAGGTTTTCTAGGAACTCGGAGATAGTCTGAAAAATACAGAACAAAAAATTAATCTGAAAGAATATTTATTTTGCTACGGGGAGGTTACTATTAGTTTCAAAAATCGCGGGATATCACAGTGAGTTTTATCATACAGGGAAAATCGATTATATGTGTCGAAAAGCAAAGAATTAGTATAGAAAAAAGATTATTCATTGTTTGTTTGCCATTCAGACACTAAAAAACTGAACAATTGTCCAGTGGATTAAATTTCTGAGCTACAGAGGTTTCTTGTTTTTTCCTAAATGTTCCAAAAGATTTGTAGATTAACGCTTATGAGCTGCTTTTCTCAAATTCGACTTCCAAATAACTGATTCCGAGACTTTTTTAATAAAATTTTTCAATATTCATGCAACATAGCCAGGAAAATGATCCTCAAAACAATTATAATATTTCACATTGAAGAAAAAAAATTCGAAGGATTAGTTTTTCGAGTTGTTTCGCATGAATATTGCAGTTTGTTATTGAAAAAAGAATGAAAATGGCGATTTAGAAGTTGAATTTCAAAAAAGTAGCTCGTAATTATTTTATTCTATGTATCTTTTAGAAAAATTAAAAAAAACTCCGTAGCTCAGAAACTGATTAGACTGCACTTTTTTTTTAGATTTTAAGCATCTGGAGTGCAAACAAACAATGAATGATCTTTTGTAGCACTAATTCTTCGTTTCTCAGAACTCATAGTGAGCTGCTCTTGAAGGGAAAGGGCCCCACCCCGCCCTTTCCAGTGAGACACAACCATTTTATTTGTCTCTCCTATAAAAAGCCAATCTGAAACAAAAAAATGATTGAATCTGCCAACGTATTTCATAAATGTCCCTAGAAGGTGGGATGAGCCGTCGTAAGGAATGCGTAAAATGCGCGTAAAATGTCTACAAATTGCATAAATTTCATAAATGTCCCTAGAAGGTGGGATGAGCCGTCCTAAGGAATGCGTAAAATGCGCGTAAAATGTCTACAAATTGCATAAATTTCATAAATGTCCCTAGAAAGTGGGATGAGCCGTCGTAAGGAATGCGTAAAATGCGCGTAAAATGTCTACAAATTACATAAATTTTTTTTTTCCGTTTATTGCACAAGAATTCCCCCGGGGGTACTGGACCTGTAACAGAAAGAAGACTTGACCTGAACAGCCCCTCCCCGCTGCTTTCTGTGAAGCCCAACGCAGATGAAACGCCTCCTCCACAAACAATAGATGAATAACGAGGAAAGGATTAATCTAATTGGAAAAGGCCCCAACCCTCCTCCTGCAAGACATAACCAATGGTATCTTCTCACCCTATATCGACGGTTCCTGATAAAACAAGGGTCTTTGGATTTTTGTTTTAATACAACCGTATCTTATAATTTCCGAATGAAATTCAGGTAACTCACGCGAAATAAGAAAAGGCCTATTTCATTAACACTGATTAAATTGTTTCAACTGATTTAGCTAGCAAAATGTAAATATATAATTTGTTAAGAGGCTTATGCCCTCTGGCATTCTCTATCGATGGTAAATGTGGGACGAGTGAAGATAACACAAGGGTGAAACGAGAGCGACAAGTAGAGCGATTACAAGTGAAGATGAGTTGAGTGATTACAAGGGTCAAATAGGGGAGGCCAGTGGAGCGATCGCCCGGGTCGAACAGGAGGAACGAGTGAGGTGAAGTCAAGGGACCCCAGGAGAGGTCACAACAATCAAACCCGAGAGACTAGTGGATTAATGACAACGATCAGGCAGGGAAGACTAGTGAAGTGATTACAAGGGTCAATTTATAAACAAGATACCTTTGTATGACAAGATAAACCCGAATACTCTCGTTTCAGTAGGAACCGTCGACATATTCGATGATAAATTCCGAACATAATGAAACCCGATAGGACCCCCGAAAAATAAACTCCAAAAAAGATCCATCCTCGCAGGTTTCCCCCGAAGCTAAAGCCCTCAGCCCTCTTTATCGACCACCCGGATGTCATCATCAAAGAGAACAAAGGAAGTTATCCTCATCAGGTTCAGCTATCTCCCCGGGGTCGACACGACGTCGTTGAGGCGGTGGAGGTTAGTCATCTGGATCGTCCAGGGGATGCAGATCTCTCCGACGCCGACGATTTTCCAGGGCCTTAAAAGCTTTCGTCATCACGTCGATGAATTCATCCTCCGAGGGCCCTTCGAATCACTGATTCATGTGCATAGCATCTGAAAACAAAATGAAAGTATTAGAATTCTTCTCTCAGAGGCTATGAAATAAAACAATGTACGCTGATTACCTCGACAAGCCCTCGTAAAACGGCTGTTCTTGAAGGAGAGTTTGTTCCGTTGAGGTACCCCTCAACGGACCCCTTTCCAGGTGACATGGAGCGAGACTTCCTCTTGGATGTGAAAAGCAGCGTGGAAATAAACTCTTGCACATTCCGCTGCATTGGGTTGTCCTAGATGGCAGAAAAATCCAACCTGCCAAAGAAAATGACCATAAACAAATCTGGAAAAGTCATATATTGATAAATAAATCTCCAATATGCATCCTATTGCATGAAATTTTTTTATCGAAAAAAATGATAAAATCCGAAAGTTGGATGAAAAATTTGGCGTAACGTCATAAATATCGATGTTTTCAATCGCCTATAGCTTGTCCATTTCTCATTATTTTTCAAAACAAAAAAAATCGTATCTAATATTTTTCATTCAATTTTCATATCCAACAATAAAAAATTTTCATTGAAAACCCCCATGATCCATACGAGATGGTCGAATGTCACATCGTGAACGGCAAACCCTCCGGTAGATCTTCAGTACGACGGAAGAGCTCCTGATTTTGCCGTCTGATCAATGCCCGATTGACTCTGAAAATAGAAAACGGAATGTAACTTCAAAGGGAAATCTGTTTCGGTGAATTGCAATGTGAATAGAGGAAGGTAATGGTCGAATCGTCAGAGTAAAATCATGATAAAAACCTCTCCAGTTCAACCCATACAATTCATCGTGTCGCATTTGACCCGTATCACTCCTCTAACAGTTTTACTGAAAATTATGTTTGGATAATGATAGAGTGAGGTAATGAGGCAAATTTTGTCTCACTCTTCACCATGGTATACCGTACACATGTATAACTACTCACTGCAATTGCTGTTCCAGCGAAATCATCTTCCTTCCCAGCCAACGTCTTGAATAAAAGAATTAATTAGCTTCTGAAATCTATTTAACGATGCATACATCAAATAGGATATAATTTATACACCCACGCATATGGGGGGGGGAGGCATCAATGAATTCCGCAGGAAGGGGATGCCTCGCTTGGTCAGCCAGGGCCTCCACATTTGGGACCGCGGGTCTCACCGGTTGCGGTTGTACCACCGCCTCGCCTTCATCTCCTCTCCTCTACTCTTCCCGCTTGTCTTCCTACTGCTTCCAGCACCCTTCTCTCTGCTTCTTTCTCCCTCCTCCTCTCCACTGCCTCATCCACCCTCCTCCTCTCCTCTGTTTCCTCCATCCTCCTCCTTCGCACTGTTTCCTCCACCCTTTTCCTCTCTGCTTCTACCAGCCTCTTCCTCTCTGCCTCGTCTTCCCTTTTCCTCTTCGCTTCCTCTACCCTCCTCATATCTACTTCTTCCTTTTCCCTCTTGGCAAATTCTGCTCTGGCTCCTGCGTCTTGGTGGGCTTTCGTCACCTCCTCCATTGCGATTCTGGTTGCCTCTAGTCTACGTGCCTCTTCTTCCGCAACTTCGGACCTTCTCCTCAGCACCTCCGCCTCTCTGTCTGCCTCTCGCCTGGCTGCCTCTCTCTTTATCCTCGTATTTTCCGCTATTACGAGCTCAATAGCAGCAGCAGCATCGGCAGTCGCAGCAGTAGCAGCAGCAGCAGCAGTAGTAGCAGTAGCAGGCGCGTCAGGGGGATCGTTCAGCGCGTTGAGAACATTCAAAACATTCGGCGCGTCTGGAGTATCATTCGGCGCATCCGGCGCGTCCGGGAAATTCAAATCGTTCAAGGGATTTGGCGCGTGTTCGGCGTTCAAATTTTCTGGCGGGTTTTGTGCGCGTGGACGAATATGCAGTTTATTCACTGCGTTTTCATCCATATCGACATCTTGACGCGATGAGTCAGCTATAGAAGCTGTGGAAGTAGATGGATCCTGAGCTATTGAATTAGAAACGGTTAAATATCCATGTACATGAGAAAGTACACGTTCACGACGCGCTGCTTCTTCTAGTTTGTACAGCCGACGACGGTGTTCACGACTGAACTTATGTTCAGGCTTCCGAGTACGCTTAACACTGAGTCGATAATTACAACCTGGATAAGAAACAGTGAAAAAAAGAATAGATTCTGTCGGAAGTACCGGGAAAAGATAGAAAAGAGAATGTGTCTGATTATAAATCTAAGCTCGCGATTTTTTATTGACAACGAAAATTAAGGTAATAGTATGATCTTTGACCTTGGATGAAGTCTCTGAAGTCTCCTTCCGATATTTCGTCCCTCGTCAGCAGTCCAAAATCTGTCGGAAAAGAGAGTTGTATTAAAAGAGTGCGGCCATTTACACCGGGACTTAAAGTCCGGCTTAGTTTAAGTCTAGTGCTGCGTAAGTTCAAATCATTTTCACGTTTTCACCAAGACTTCGATGAAAGTGGACATAAAGTTAGCCTCACTTGAAGTTTATGTCCACTATGATGATGTGTCTGTCGATCTGTCGATGTTTGGTTGTACTCTTGTTCATGATGTCATGATTATTGCAGATTTATACTGTCTGGCCCATGCTATTTGGAACATTTCGTCGCTTTTAGTGAATTTTTTCGAAATACTCCGAGATCAAAGGGAGATGGCAGAATTTTTGTAGAGACATTTCTCATAGTGTTCATTTTGCTCTACAAAAAAGGTCTTTACAATATTTTCCCTACAGCCCCTAAATTTGAAGATATTTATCAAAAATCCACCCGGAAGTAAACTGATCGTTTTCTCCTCAGTCCGTAGTGAATTTTGCAATCCGAAAAATCTCTCCATCGAAACGTCTAATTGACCATTCAATTAGTGAATGCAATTCCCGCACAAATCGACTAGAATAATTACTCTACTCATTTTCATTTTACCCCTAGTTCGCACGTATGAAAAAATTCAATGGAAAGCCTAGCGAATTCGATAGAGAATTCTATTGGAATTCCATAGGAATTCTATGGGGTTTCTATAGGATCTCTATTGGAATTCTATTGGATCATTCTATTCGTATTTTGCGCTGATTCTATTGCATATATGCTAGGAAAGACTCAATAGATTTCGAATTCCTGTTTGAATTTTTCTCTTGAGATTTTTTCATTAAAATTATTGGGCATCAATTTTCTGTTTTTCCCACTCGGATTCTGTAATCCAAAAAAAAACAAAATAGAGCGGAAAAAACTTGGAAAATCTGTGCCCAATAATTGTAATAGAAATAATCTCAAGACATAAATTCCAACAGAAATTCAAAATCTGTGGGGTTTTGCCTATGAAATATGCAATAGAATCAGCGCAAAAAACGAATAGAATTTTCCAATAGAATTCCAATAGGGATCCTATAGAAACCCTATAGAATTCCTATAGAATTTCAATAGGTTGTCTAGCGAATTCGCTAGGTTTTCTACTAAATGTTTTCATGTGTGTCCATTAGGATGGCTCATATGTAAAAAAAATGGAATTTCATAATTTTTGTGTTTGATAAAGATAACCAATGACATGGAAAGTACATGTGAATTTTTTTAAAATTTTTGAATCATTTTTCAAGGTTGCGCCGTGTAGTTTTATTTCTTATAGACTTTTACACGCATCGTAGAGATCGAATGTGTCAATTTTTTAAAGACTCAATTATTACATCCCTCGGTGTTTCCCTTCCGTGAACCGTTCAGAGGGAGGTTTAAGAACAGAATTAATTTTTGTCTCAACAGAAAACTTATTACTTATCAAAATGAAAATCCTCATTTCTACTCAATTCAGTCATTTTTAGACGCCTCTAGCACGCTGGGTATCTGGCCGTTTTTCATCCCGATTCGGTTGATGGATTATGGAACTATCTGACAATAATTCAAAGAAAAAAATTTTCTTCCTCACCAATTGAATTTTGAAAAAAATGCGAAAGATAATTCCTAAATTTCCAGTAAAGACAGGTGTCCGGCTCATGCGGTGCTTTTACAACGGTCGTAAACACAGAAATTGAGCCTAGGCAAAAAATTTGACCTGCCGAACTAACCTGCGCTGGGAGGGGACTGAACTCGCATCGTAGAGCTGCTTTAAAATTTAGCTGAAATATAGTGTATATTTTTCATGTTTTCGGATGATGCATTCATGAAAAAATGATAACAAAAGAGGAAAACCTTCTATGATAACTGTAGTGCGTCAGTAATACGCTTCAGGCGGCAGAAGGGAGCAATGAAAATCCACGATAATGTCAGGGAGTGGTGGAAGAGAAAATTCCATTCATTAGGCCAGAAAAATTGTTCTTCAATATCTCATGTATCAAATTTTCAATAACTTCTTTTTCTTTGATTTTTTGTATTTTTTACTCTTTGATTATTTTTGATATATTGAGAATTTTATATTTCCCATATATTTGAAAGAAGTGTCAACTACATTTGTAACAAAAAAGGCATTAGACAAATCTAACTTAATCCGAAGGAATCCTGGGAGCGTTTATTCAACTCAGAAGGTTAATTATGCTTATTTCCTTCAACTCTATTTTATATAATTATTTTTCGAAACATTTTAATTAATTTCATACATTCTTCAGATTGAAAAAATATATTTTGCCCTTGAGGACTATCCAATTCTCAATATATCGAGAATAATTAAAGACTAAAGAATACAAAAAAAAACAATTACCTAGGTGACACACCCGAACCCTCACTCGGAGCCATACTTACTACCTGACACGGGCGTATCATTGAGGATATTTAACTTCTACCCAAGTTTTATGACCTCTACTGCCAGTAGGTCAAAAATGTTAGTCAAACTTTAAACACACGGCGCAACCATCAAAATGCAGTTTAAAAATGAAAAAATTCACAGGGGTATTTTATCAACTGAAGAATCATTTTTTGAGGCGAAATCGGAAATATTCAGGAATACCCGCAAAATGGGCCACCCTAGTGTCCATTCTTCCTGACAGACCTGCCTGCAGCCAATGTCTCATGTCATTGTTCCTAACCTCATGACTAATTACCAGCATTACACACAACGGAATCGATTATTTCCCGGCCGTAATAAACAATATCCTCGTAAATTAAGATGCATTATTTGTTTTAATATGAATTCGTAAATATTTCACCACAAAAATGTCGTTGAGATTCTACGACAGTCGCCGGTATTTGTTTACATCAACAAAATGAGGGTTAATTGGTACCCGAACACAACAAATGAGCAAAAATCATGAGTTATTCGTCAGAGGATTGAATGAGATGATGAAATCGATCGAAAACACTGATTATAATACTTAAATTGTTAATAAATCACTGATCTGTCGACGAACGAGGACGGTTACAAGGAGTTTCTCGGTCACCCACCGACAACGAAGACTTTTAGGACTTAATGAGCAATGAAACTTACCTGTAAATAGACTTTGAAGATTCCTCTTTCCTCCCACTATTTCACTACGTCTGAAAATAAGAACTTCTGTCCAAAAAACTTACAAAACACACAGAACAAATTAACACACGTCTGGCTCACTGGAATGCTCGGAGAAGGAAGTTACGTGGACGCCGTGATTGTGATTTCGGCGCCAGTCATGGGTTGCAGGCGCGGGATATTCGTAATTAAAAAGACTCGTTCCATCAAATCAAGCAATTGAATAATGCAATGGAAAATCCGACGCATTCGCTCGAAAATTCAATTGGGAATCTATTATAATTATGACATAATCATATGGAAAGTCCAGTTTAAGCCATTTCAAATTTCCGGTGTTTAGCGATTCCAATTTATATATTTGATAGAAGAAAAGTAAATAGAGTTTGATTATTCTATATGAATAACTAAATGAATTGTGATTCTCCTATATAACTTGTCCTGTTGCAATTTTTTCTATGATAATTATCAGGCATGAGTTTTCCCACTTTTTTCCAATTCGCAATTGAGAAACCAGGTCAAAAACTGGGAAAGTGTTGCTCAAGAATTTTACTTTAAAGGATCCCAAAAGATTACATATAGAAAAATTACTATTTTTCACATAAAAACAAATATCACTAATTTTTTTTCTATTTATGCAATACAAGTCAAACAATCGCGGCGAAAAAAAGCAAAATTTGCCAAAGAACACGTATGATAAATTCAATAGAAAGCCTAGCGAATTAGCTGGAAAATTCTATTGGAATTCTATAGAGATTCTATGGAGTTTCTACAGGATCTCTATTTGAATACTATTGGAAAATTCTATCCGTTTTTTGCGCTGATTCTATTGCATATTTCACAGGAAAAACTCAAAAGATTAAGAATTTCTGTTTGAATTTTTCTCTTGACATTTTGTCTATTAAAATTATTGGGGACAGATTTTCCAAGTCTTTTACGCTGTATTTTGTTTTGTTTTGCAATACAGAATCTGAGTGGAAAAAAATTAGAAAATTCATGCCCAATAATTTGAACAGAAAAACTCAGAGAAAATTTCAAACAGAAATTCGAAATCTATTGAGTTTTTCCTATGAAATATGCAATAGAATCAGCGCAAAGAACGAATAGAATTTTCCAATAGAATTCCAATAGAAATACTATAGAAACCTCATAGAACTCCTATGGAATTTCAATAGAATTTTCCAGCGAATTCGCTAGGCTTTCTATTGAATTTTTTCATACGTGAAATCGATAAGAACTTGATAAAATAATCAGGCATTATATATGGGCAATATATATGTTCAATTTCCTATTTCCTTACTATAAATTCTAGGCTTCCGGAGCGGTTTTCTAACTCACTAATCATGTTTTTTTCATTCATTAATTCATTTTTTTCCATACATTAATACTTCAGCCTGAAAATCCATCGGGTAAGGCATACTTGTATTATACGAGTACTATATTCGTACTGGATACTTGTACACCGTACCAGTTTCATACCAGTACAGCGTACTGGTATCATACTAAGATTATTCTCGTATTCGATACTTGAATTTGGTGTTACTGACAGTACGACGTACTGGTATCGTACCAGTGTATTATTTCCGTAGAGAGATACTATGAAGAATAGAGGGAAGGAGGCCGAACTGTTGGGGGAGGCCGCTTCTAAACTGCGATATGAATCTGTCAGAAGCTTACTATCCTTTTCAAAAGTGTAGTCCGCAAAATTTGAGGGGCCATATCTTTGAGAAAAAAAATCGCATCAATACGGGACCGATCTCATTCTTTAGTTTCACTATTCTTCTTGTCCAGTACGGAGTTTCATTAATTTTTATCGGATAGTTTTTGCGCTATCTCGTTTGAAATGTGAAAAAACCTATGTTTTTCGGTGCCGTGACAATTCATAAACTTCGGCCTTCTCTCAGCACTTCAATTTTATTTCCAAAATTATCCCAATTTTTTATACGATAATTCACACCTTCAAGAATTGAGCAGTGGAGAAAAAAATTAATTTTTTCAATAATTTTCCTTTTTTTTAATTAAAATATCACATGCGGCTATCTTCAATTGCAATCAACCCACGAAATTGAAAAAATATCATACGACGTGATATGAAAAAATAAGATGATTCCAGTTATTTTCAATCATGTAAACTATTACAAATATTTTATAAAAATTCTTGAAGTTTGCGTTTTTTCATTAACCGCAGGTCATTATAACTTTAGGGTTGGGTTACCTCTCGAACCCTTGGAATTGCTTCCACATGTGCACTCCACAACCTCTTCCAGGGCCGGACGGGCTTCACTCGAATACGATTTGGGGGCTGAAGGGGCTACAAACGGACTATGGAAATTATTTCAAGAATAAACACAGAAAAGACAATATCAATAATTCGGGAATTGAAGATTAACAATTCGGTAATGTTAAATATTACCATTTTATTAATTTTATTCCCAATTTGCAGATACAGTGCATTACCAGACTGGTAATATTTATTATTACTAAATTTATCATTCTTCATTCCATATTCAAAAATATTTTCTATCTCCGCAAATCGAAAAACTCAATAAATCGTAAATAATCCATGCATCGAAAAATTTTCCATTCCTGCTTCTTCGACACTCATCATAATGATTCAGAGAGTAGGTTCAAATAATGGGGGAATCCCCCGGTACGTGGAATGAAATTGTCAAATATTATTCGCTCGATTATTATTTCCAGCATAAAAGAAGGGCAATAAAATCTACGGTACTATTAATCCATTTCTGGGTAAGCTTCATTCTTTCCTCTTTCTTTGGGACTTTTGGGTCGTTTCTCGTCCTCATCGGTATCCATTGTTTCCATTCCTTTTGTTCGAGGTTTTTATGATCGGTCCGAAATGAATTATTGAAAAATATACACTATATTCAACATTCTTCCTACATTCGACCTCTCAATTTTTTTCTGGTTTAGTAACGATTACTTGATCAGTGACTTGATGTCTCAAAAAACATTTGATAATGTATTATATGAGGTGGTGGACGGTAGTGGTGGTGGTGATTGTTTATTCAAAGCACTGGCTCTGGGATTACAAGACGGGAGCATACGGCTAACGCATCAGCGTGTTCGAACAAGTATTGTTAATTATGTTATTGCATTTTGGGATCTTTACAAATTTTGGATTGAATCCACTGGGATTATTCTGTTTATATGAGCAAATCGGGGACTTATGGATCAGATGTTGAATGTCGCGCTGCATCTGAGTTTTTCAAGGTTAACATAATTATATATCGTGTCAATGCAGATGGTTCATATTTCAAATACGATTTTCCATTTTCACCGCATGCTGATTCGGTATATTTATTGTTCACGGGCATGCGACGAGATAATGATTTAGATGGTCATTTCCAGTTATTGAAGCCAGTGCGCAGAGAAGAGAAGGGTATCTCATTTCAAATGGAGTGAATACACTGCAAACCCTAGTGTGTATTTTCAACATACGTAAAGTGTGTAAATTGTGTAGACACTTTTTACACACTTTGAACCGTGTCATTTTTCCTACACATTTAAGATGTGTTATTTCCACACTTTTATCGTGCAGATTTACTACACATTTCAAACATGTTAGTGAACCTAACATGCTTGAAGCGTGTAAAACCTCAATTAATGAAAACACTATAGTAAATGATGATTTATTCGATTTTTTCGCTTTACATATATCCCACATATATTTGTTACAGTTTCAGTACATCGGGAGTATGCAAATTTTACAATGCTCATTACTTAATATCTAAGGTGTATTTTTTTCCATTAACATCATGAATAGAAGATTATTGATTTTGTGATTCCTGAATATATATACAGCTCAATCGCTATTAATTTGATTCCTCATCTTCCTGAGGAATTTTTCTACAGCGATTTTGGTTTTGAAATCACCCAAGATCTCATGTTAGATGTACTCCATCGTGTTGACGTATGCTTTTGGGTAGGTGGAATCCCAAACGTAATAAGTAGCCAACAGACACAAGATCGTCTTGTTGACTGTTGGATCGCGGATTTTAATTCTAACATCTGCATCAGCTACGACAAATGCTTCACAGATTCCTCCTTCCATTGTATATAATACAGCTCTCGGGCCGGAGCCTTCCGTGGTCCTGAGAACGTCCGTGGATCCCCTTTTCTTGAAGAATAAAACAGAAAAGTAATTAAAATGAATGTTTACGGAAATAACCAAGGAAAATATATTTTGCAAGAGGTATACATACAGGTCTAACTGTGAACAATGGTGTGGCCGATTTCTTCACTTGCTTCGTTACCAAGCTCTCGAACAATTTCTCCAGGAGAGAACATTTGGCAGGCTCGTTATCGGCCTCTTGGTGGAAGAAGCTTGCCAGCTTCTTCATCATTTTTTCAATTTTGGCTTCCAGGATATCCAAAGGCTGGTCCACAACCTTAGCGAACTCGAACAATATCTGTAATGACAGTATAAATTAAGAGGTATTCGTGTTCATAACAGGAGAAGAGTGGTCTAAAGTTTTTCGAAAAGGTTTTAACCAGTGCTTCTACTACCCAGAGGAATGATGCCACAGTCAGTAGACCATGACTGATAACATGAGGTTGCACTTACCAAGCTGTATTCTTTCAATTGTGGGAATCTCTCCACGACTGGTTTTATCCCTTTTGCCTCTTTGACAATCCATTGACGTCGTGAATCAAACGTCTCGACCAGAAGTTGTCTGATGTGCGGAGTATCACCAGCCGTTGCATTCTTGTGCAGTTCTTCCAAAAAAGTCATCAGTGTATCCCTGGACGTTGATGATCCCGTTCTGTGAAAAAAATCCAATACATAGAGTGTATTATTAATTTCTATGACTTTTCAAAATTCCTATATTTGCATCAACGTACGTCTCTACTGATACCGTTCCAAATGTGCCACTGCGTTTGTTGTTAATAGACGCACTGGACGTTCCCCTGGATATTTTGTTGCTAAGAGTTCGTCGGCGGTTTCTAATGCAGGTGCTCAGTTGGAATTTTAGTACATTCTGAAAACAACCAGTGTTAAAAAAAATTGAAGGGTATTGAAAATTGATATTATTTCCACGAATTTCCAATGTTATTGAAATTGAATCCACAATTTCAATCGTTACAC